TATTCAGTGTAAAAATTTAATACATACAAATGTTTAAAAATCAATGATTTAATCAGTTTTAATGCAATTGTTCTTTCTCTTTAGTTTTTTCCCCCTTTTTATGATTTTCTTTCTAAAGTCTACTCCCAACAATTTTTGGTTTACTGTTATATATTAAGTCATTTATAGAAATAAAACTGTTATTAAATGAGGAACAGATAACAGTGTTAATGCTAATAGTAAAGGTCCAGGAAACAACATAATGATATACATGCTTTCATTCACTTAACTGTCTAATGGGTATTTGTTACAGGCACTGTTGTAAATTATAATGATGTTACAAGACGTGTCAAAACACAGGTCTACTTTTCTTAGCTTAAATAACAATAATGAAGAAAGTGTAACATTAAAAATAAAGACAGATTCAGGGGCGCCTGGGTGGCTTAGTCGGTTAAGCGTCCGACTTTCGCTTAGTTCATCATCTCGCGGTTCGTGGGTTCGAGCCCCGCGTCGGGCTCTATGCTGACTGCCAGCTCAGAGCCTGGAGCCTGTTTCAGAGTCTGTGACTCCCTCTCTCTCTGACCCTCCCCTGCTCACGCTGTTTCTCTCTCTCCTAGAAATAAATAAAACATTAAAAAAAAATAAAGACAGATTTAAATTGATGTTATTCAGTAATAATAAAAGTCTTGAAATAAAGTATGGAAGTTTTATATATAATTTATGCAGTGAAGAAGACTAATAAATTTCTTACATTTTCTTAATTAACTCAAACTATTATTGAAAAAATTTCATAAAACATGCATTGTGTATTTAATTTTATATAAATATTATGTAACAGTATTATAATATTCCTTCTTTTTTATTATTTTTTTTCAAATTACTTTAATCCCTTTTATTTACAGGTTTTTATGGTACTTTCCACAACTTGTGAACCAATGTTTTAGCATCTATTCTTACAGTAGCATTATAAAGAAGAAATACTAATACAGAAATCTAGAGACCTAGCTTTCTATGTACTACAGTGGAAAGAATACTTTTGAAATTTGACACATTTTTGATATCTGCCTCTGCCACTTACTTTTGTCATTAGAAATTTCACTATGTGATGTCCACATATGGAATTTTGGTGTTACTGGTAGTTTACCTATCTAGCTAGCTCTACCTACTTATGTATTGTCAAAAGCTTATGAAAAACCCAGAAGTGAAACCAACAAATCACTTAAGTAAAAATTAGGAAAAATGTATTATGTATACACCAAAACAACAGTTTACAAACCAGAAGCACTCAAATCAAAACAGAGTTCAATGAAGCATGGAGTTGTATTGTTTTAAGACAGCTTACATAGTACGAAGGTAGTGAGTGTTTACTTTTTATAGTCGTTGGTTACAGTATTAGAATTTTCTTAAATGAAAATTTTCTTAAATTATTTTAAACAAGAGGGTCTCAAGTGGTATTTCCTTGCTGCTGATCTGATTCAAAAAACAAGGCTTTTGGATACTCCATCACTGAGGCTCACCAGTTGGATACTGTCGAGGTTAATAATAGTAAGTGCTCAGTAAATGTTACTTGCTATTACTATTGTTATTGTTACTACTTTGAGTAGATATTGTGATATGTGTTCGTTATGTGGCCATTGTGCCACCCGTTACTACCCATGTGACCTTGGACAAGTTACTCAACAACTTTAATCCTCACATTTGTCATTAGCAAATTCAGATAACAATACCTGTCTCATCAGGCTAGATTGCTATGGAGATTAGAAATAATCCATTTAGTTGTACAATTATGGTGATTTTTCAATAAACCGTAGTTCTTATAATTATAACAAGTAAGTATACTATTCTGGCTCAAATGATTAAAATATCTGTTGGAAAACACAACTCTCCCTGGATTTGCCTATGACCAGCTGCCCCATCGGGTGGAAAGATTGTGTTGTTCCGATAAATGCAACATGACTTAGTGCTCAATGTAATAGCTCATTTATTGGTCCAGCAGGCACTGTTTATACATCATTCTTTTGGGTTATTTCCACTGCTGCAGTTTCCAGTATTGTCAGATAGGGCATTATTCTGAGCGATGTCACCTCAGAGTAGTGCGAATCAGGCGTCACAGAAGAACTAAACGGTAACCTAGAACAGTGACCCTTCAATTGGGATAATGTGGGCTGATGCAGAAACCTAATAAATAGTGGGAGGCACAGTTTTAAGACAGTACATTTTTAGGTCTTTAGTTCAATTTGTACCCTTTCCTCAACATGATCTACCTGAGGACCCAAGAAAGTTTCTTGATGGAAGTGGACCCTCCGCTTCCTGTTCTATCGCCTCCTCTCTTTTCATTTTACGAAAGAAACACACACCCACAGGGATGCATACTTCAAGGATGTCAAACAGAAGGACGCTTTGGGACAGTAGTATTTTCGGGTGACATTACATTGCCAGTCAGGTAGTTTTAATACTCAACTTCCAGCAAAACTGAAGAAGAACACAAAGAATCGATTAACTGATGGATTATTAAAATTCTTTCAAGGACTGATAACAATGTGATATTGCTAGTTCAACAAGTGAATGCTAGTGCTCCAAAAGTCCCCTTCACATTTTTATTTACGTGATTAAGTTTTTTAGTTTACATCTTATGAAAGTTTTTAAATGAAACAGAATTGAAACTGAACTCTCTCTCATTCTAGCAAAAAATAATATTCCCCCAGGGATAGGTGACTTAATAAAAATAAGAAAAGCCTCATTCATCTCACTGAGAACTGCATTTTTTTATGTTTTTAAATGTTTGTTTATTTTTTTAGAGATAGAGAGTAGGAGAGGGCCAGAGAGAGAGGGAGACACAGAATCCGAAGCAGGCTCCAGGCCCTGAACTGTCAACACAGTGCCTGACGCGGGGCTTGAACTCACAGACCGTAAGATCATGGCCTGAGCGGAAGTCAGATGCTTAACAGACTAGCCACCCAGGCACCCTGAAAACCGCATTTCTAACATTTTACTTCTTGTATTAATTACCAACATTTTAGTGTATTTTATGTTGTTTTAAAAATTGTGTATTGATAATAACAGTCATGAGAACTCAGTCTAGACAAAACATTTAAAACATAGAGTCTCATGGTCATAGAAAAGTTGAAAACTTTTGAGTTTCACTTTCATTTATTCAAAAAGTTTAGTCAACACTTACTCTTATTAGGCCTTGTCTCAAGTGCTAGGAAGTCATCAGTGACAAAACAGAAAAGAAACTTCTGTCCATATGAAGTTTGCATTCTAGTCAAATAAGATTCAGATAAAAACCATATAACAAATGCATAGAAATTTAATATTTTTGTGCCAAAAAAAAGTGGCAGAGTGTTTAATGATTCCAAGCATGAAATATTTTAGGATATTTGGTGGGGAAAAACATGATTTAAGGGGAAAAAAATGAACATTAATAGGAAAGGCTAGATCATGCCTTTTTAAAATGGGTAATGGTGAGAATCATATGGCTAAAACCTTAGATCCCACTGAAATATTAAAAAGACTAATATAATAGTACCCTAAATTTTATTTTATATCATTTTTTTTACAAGACACTAGAAATCTCATTCTTCAAAATATGAAAAAATGTAGATATTGTCTTTCAAATGTATGAGTGTACAGTTTTACAAAACCAGGTGAAGCAAGTTTGAGGACCACTAGATAGAGTGCTTATTAGGGGAGGGCAAAGGAGTTTACTAGAATGTAAAGTAGACAACACAGTTTTGATTTTATTAAATATATTTCAGTCGTGTGATGAAATATCACTTAAAAACCAGGATATGAATTCTTGTTAATATCTCCTAAACATGCTCTTTATGTTTACATCAAAGCAAACAATTGTTTGAAATTTGAACAGAGAATGTTCTTTTAATAAATATAGTGATTGAACAACTATTTCTGATGTTTAACCAAAAACCAATTTGACAAAACCTCAAGACAAATAAACAAAAACAGTGAATTCTGAAGATTTTGATAAATTATGTATCAAAAGAAAAGAGATCTGCCTTTATAATAGTCATTATTAGTTTGAGTTATTTCTAATAATAGTAGAAAATATTTGTGAAAACATTCCTCTGACTTAATAGCTCCTGAGACCTGGGGTAATTGACACCTAATATATATATATTATATATATTTATATATATAATTATTATTATTATTTCGAGCATCGAGTACTGCACTAACCCTTGTTTCTTGTTTCTACTCACAATTAGAAACCCATCATAGGTACAGTTAGGAGGGCTTGTCTCCATCTAGTGGTCAGTATATTGTACTAATACTGTTATTCTAAAATCAAAATATTATGGGTGTTTTATTTTCTTAACTACAGTGAAAAATGACTGTAACCAACATACTATTGCTATTTTCTAATCAAGTCTGTCAAATTTGACTACAATCAGCTAGAAGATAAAAATCTTAACATAGATACATTGATATATATGGCTTAAATATATTGCCCACCCAAAATTCCATTAAGTTGTTTCTCTGTTCAAAAAAAAAAAAAACTCTATTAAATGTAATTTCATAGTTTTTCCAGGTACTTTATTTTCATATTAGGCATTTCATTTTGACACCAACATGTACAACAATATTCATTAACATATATGGAAGATTAATGACATTGGTTAGGGCTGTTCTTAACTAACAGAAAGAGTATTGTATCTAACTACATTTAAAATATTATTTACCAAATAAAAAGACTAATTCCTAATGGGTCTATCATACCTAGTATTTTCTTTGTCAAAATGCACCATTCTTCATAATGACTTTTTTCTTTCTTTTTTGTAAATCCATGAGAGATAAGAATATAAATCACATAGAGAAACTGTATTATAAGTATAATACTACTTTTCTTTTTTGGTCTTATACAGTTTATATTATCATCTTTATTTAACAAAGGCGTCGGTTGACTTTCCCATCCCATTAAGACCTTAATAAGATGGGCTTATGCATTAATTTATGCCTGTAGAAGTCCAAAGCTCTGACTCAAGATTTCTGCACAGGTCCAGAGGGTTCCCACTCTCAAAGCCATCTCCATCTCTGGACTTCTGCATTCTTGCGATGCATCTCTTATCTGCAATATGGCAAACAAGACATGAAACTGGACCCATTCTTAATTTCCAAAAAAATACCAATTCAGCCCTGGCACACATGAGTACAGTAAGTGTTGCTGAAGACTAGAAGGAACGAAAGTAAGACAGACAAGTTTAGTCACATCATTCAAACTTCAACTTGAACATTAGGCAGGTAAGTTCCGAAGATGTCCTTTTATCTCTCCCCCACTGGGCAACTTACAATGGTCCTTCTCTCCACCAGCTCCTCCGACTCCACCAAAGTCATTATGACAGATAGGATGATCTCTTTACAAAGGAATTGCAAGCACTTTTTTTCTAATGTAGAAAAAGGGAAACTGATGTGAAGATGCAGTTTCACAGGAATACTGTGCTAAGTATTTGAAACACAGGTAACTAAAGATGCCCCTGAGGTCTCAAAACTTTATATTCTGTTTAAACTTTAAAAAAACAATCAGAAAAAATTCTAGGCCTAACAGGTGAGAAGTTATTTCCTATATAAACTGTGGATTTAATGTGCAAACAACTCAAATAGAGGTCTACCTAGAAGAGGAAGAGGAAAAAAAAGTGTCTTTGTCTTTAAGCCATTTATGACATAATCAGATGATTACAGTTTTATTTTGTAACATAGAAATTGCTTGCCTGAAGCTCTAAAGTATGTGGCAAAGGGGGTCTTTATACCTAAATTAAAAATTCAAAGAACTAAACATGAAAGTAACACCCTGATTTCACTTTCATTCGCAGTAAAAAATAGGTGATCTCATATGAATTATTACAGGTTAGGTTTGCCTTATTTTTTAAAATTTTTAATGTTTATTTATTTTTGAGAGACAGAGAGACCGAGCATGAATGGGGGATGGGCACAGAGAGAGAGAGAGAGAGAGAGAGAGACAGAATCCAAAGCAGGCTCCAGGCTCTGAGCTGTCAGCACAGAGCCCAACGAAAGGCTTGAACCCAGGAACTGTAAGATCATGACCTGAGGTGAAGTCGGACACTTAACTGACTGAGCCACCAGTCACCCCAAGTTTGCCTTATTTTAAAAAGTCATGCTGTTCGGAAGATGTCCCCCTCAGCTTTCTCTGACCTTTGACTTGGCCCTGATTACCAGGAGAAATAGAGAGGAGCTTAATCAGCAGAATAAATGGATAAGATTAGAGCCTTGCCTCAAGTTAAGAAAAGGGCTTCATACTATGAAAAAAGGTAACATAGTATGGGAAAATGATAGAGACCAGTTAGTACTAACTCATTATGTTGACAAGGTTGACAAATATAGGCTATACAGGTCTTTCATGTTATAACAAAATATTTGTTCTACAGGTTAAACCTGGCTTGATTTACTGGGTTTGATAAGCTAAAAGATTTCTGAGACATTAGGACAAGGGTCAAATGGCAACAGATCATGGCCAGTGACTTTCATGGTTTCTTCCTCCCTTTGGGAATTGGGAAAATGTATAGACTTCTTAGGAGAAAAAATGGCTAGGTATATTCAGAGAAATCTTACCAATAGTAACTCTCAAATGACAAGTAGAATTCATATTGGATAAAGATAAAGGAGACAAATATATCATGTATCTCACTGCCACAAAGTGTAGAACAGCGAAGCTCTCTAATTCCTCAAAAAAACCATGTTCTCCTTGTTGAGACTCAGTTTCTCCTCTTTTCCCCATCACCTGCTGAGGTAGCTGCTCTCCATAAATGGCTCCCCAAAGAGCCTTGCCTCCTTTTACTCATCATCTTATGTGCCTTTGCCCCTTGAATCTGGCTTTCCCTGTGACTCATTAGGAAGCAATATAAAGCTGAAGAAGTGATGCTAGAGAGTAGATGAACCTTGGTTAGGGAACACCTTACTGATTTCATCTTAGTCTCTCATGTCCTCTCTGTGAGCCTTGAGCCACTATGGAAAAAAAAAAAAAAGCAACTCCAGTTGGGACAGGGCTTGGAACATAACACACTGTATGAATATTACACAGAGCACAGGAATCTCCCTGTCCAGCCCTGCCCAAATTCCTTACCCATAAAATTGTAACATACAATATCATGGTTGCATAAAGCCTCTAAGCTTGGGGGTAGATGGTTTTGTAGTCAGAACACTTAGTTCCCTTCAGATCACTTTCCAGGACTCAACACAGATTTTGTACCTTTAGGGAAGCCTTTTCCAACCTCTTAGTCTAGGCTGGGCATCCCTTCTAGGTACTGCCTAATCCTAGTAGTTTACATATTGTATTATAATTGTCCACATACTCTTGTCTGAGATTAGGGAGAGCTAGGATCATGTCTTAACTGATTGTTATTGTACCCCCAGTACCAACAGTGCTTGGTATTATAGTAGCTATAAACAAAGATGCCCCATTGAATCAATGGATGCATTTCTTATGCAAATAAACGCTGATCTCTTACTCTGCTGGAAATAAGCCCCTTGCCTGTTATACTATTTGATAGTCAGCTTCCAGTAAAAGCAACCATGTAAAATATATCTCAGCAAACTGTAAGAGGAACATGCAGTGCACAAGCCACAAAGCCACTCGAATTATTAAAATACATGGAGGTTTAAGAAATAGATTTGGGCAGTCGACTTTCTTTTCTAAATATTCACTGAACTCCATTGTTCTTGATTTGACCAAAGTTTGTTTTATCTTGGATCAGTGCTATTCTCATAGCTTTTATGGGTAAGGAGAATTTTAAGACTGTGAAGGCTCATGATTCTCTGTATTCTAAATGAAGAAAAATATCTTCTTGTATCCTATAAATAAGACATCTGTGAATTGGCAAACGCTGGCGCAAACAAGTTCATTTTGTGACAGTAAAACTGTCACGGACATGTTTAAACTGAAAATATACAACTAGGAAAAGTTTACAAGATGCAGATGTCATGCAAGGCAGAGAATTGAGCCAAATGACCCAAAAGTTGTAATGGACAGGAGTTTTTACGAAATGAATAAGAAATCAGAGAAAGTGAAACACAGGTACACCATAGGATGACCCTCACTATTATGTCACTTGGTGGGTTCTCGGAGTCCTCTGTAAAGTGGATTATTTTTCCACGAGTATCTGACCTTGATTGAAGAATTACCAAGAAAAAGGCCAAAGGCATTACCACGCACCCATCTCAGTCATTAGCTTTGGTCAGTCTCAATTCCTGGTAGTTGTTTATAACTTCTTGTGAGACCTACCTCAGTGCTTTTGTATCGCTGTGAGTCTGAGAAGGTACTCTGGGATAAACGGTATTACAGCCTCTGCCACACACAGCAGCCCCCACACATAGCCTTCTCTGTGGAATTCTTTAGGAAATGAAATTCCAATGCACTGACATCTCAGTTAGAGCTGAATTTTTCCTACAGCATTCCTTACCAAGAATTTCCTATCAAATAAAAGTGCAACATGAGAACACCCGACCAATGTGACTTCATACATTTTTTTTCTGACCTACTGCAAAATGTAATCTTATTTTTTATATCCTAATTTAGTTTTTCACTTGCCTTTAAGGTCTTGGATTGTCAACTGCATTTTGTATTATTTAAACATTATCTGTATTATTTAAACATTACACACAGGAAGGGAACCCCCTCTGAAGTCAGTATTATTATCCTAGTTTCTCCCAAGGGGAAAAATTAAGATAGGATTGAGAGGTTACATGTCACAAATTAGAAAAGAATACAAGTACCACATAATAAATTGAACCTCTTTTTCTTCCATAACCCATCCATTTCCCTGTATTCAGAATTATATAAATTAGAAATCAGCATGACCTTAGACAGTGTAGTCAGAAGTTCTTATTTTAAAGTCAAGGCCTAGCATAGGAGCACATGTACCCCAGTGTTCATAGCAGCACTCTCAACAATAGCTAGAACATGGAAAGAGCCTAAGTGCCCATCAACGGACGAATGGATCAAGAAGATGTGGTTTATCTATACCATGGAATACTACATGGCAATGAGAAACAATGAAATCTGGCCATGTGTAGCAATAAACTATTTGTAAGAGAAAAATAAATAAAATGTTGACAAAAAAAATAAAAATAAAGTCAAGGCCTAGAAAGCTTAACTAAATTGCTCAGATTCACAGCTGGTGGCAAAGCAGGAATTATCTGCTAATGTTATTATGAGTTTGTTTGACATTAATTTATTTCTCTATGAGACCCAGATACTCAAACTTCTGAACCACGTAGAAAGTAAAATGTCCTTGAAGAGGAGGCAGAATGGTTTCTAAATCCTGCATTCCAAATAACTAAGTGCAATTCATGGGGATACACTACTTCCCCCAAAAGATTTGATTTGCCCTCTAAGTGACATGGGAAAAAATAAGAATTCCCAAATAACAGCAGCCATGAATAGTCAGATATTTTTCCAATATGTATCTCTCTTGATCAAGTACAATATTTTTACTTCCTGCAAGGGGAAAAAAGTGAGCCAGTAATAAAGTGGTTTAAGAAAGCTGATTTAAGAAGCAAGTACTCATTTTCTTCTTTAGTGAAGAAAATGGAAATACAGAAGTAGTCTTTTGGCTGGCAGGAGAAGTATGGAGGAAAAAGGCTGAAATGGGAAGAGACCAGGAATATAAAAGAAAAGTATCTCTTTAAGGGAATCAAATACATAATTATTTGAGCATAATAATACCAAAGAAAAGCTCTGGCACAATTTCACTTAGCATACCACCCTGCTTCTGACTTTGATCTACTGATCATGTTTTCCTATCCAGTAAATCCTTAGCCATTAGGAAATACTCTTACAATGACAACAGATTACTTGTATAAGGCATAAAATCAGTTTAAAAATAGAGTTTTAATTGGTTTCTCATACCAAAGATCAGTAGTAATCCTTTCCCAAGGTTGTGTTTTCTTTATGTCCTCGCTGTCTAACATTTCTATTGACTTCCTGAACTCAAATATCAAACAAACAAAATGGCAGCCAGCAGGCCCTACAACAGAGGAGAGTAAGGATAAATCCATGGACAAGCCAGATATCTCACATGCTTAGGACCTCACTGGTTTCCATCACACCTCATTATCAAGCCACCCAATGTAGGTGTTCTTATTGGGGTCAAAGAAGTTGATCAAAGAACACATATTTAGGGAAAAAAGGATGATCACATGAAGCTTGAGGTTTCTTTCTTAGAAGTAAAGTAAGAAAAGAGGGAAAGATTTATATATTTCCAAAATTGAACACTGTGTTGGGCTAG